GCCAACCCTAATTGGAAAGAAAGATTAAGGAAAAGAGTTGCTGTCAAGCCAAATCAGGAGTCGCAACCAACTCTAACTCTACCTATAGAAGAAGTCACCCAAGAATAGGCTCAAGCCCTAACCCAATTCTAACCAGAAGTCATTAAGAGACCAAGACATACCCAAGAACCCTCTATAGTTGATTTGGTACCACCCTACAATATCGCTGAGAACTTACTGAATCAATGTTCAAATGCAACCTATGCGCAAATATTACAAATATCAAGACAACGCAAAAATCTCGCTCAAGCATTGCGTTGTCTAAAATTAACCCTACCGGCAAAAACTAACCTGGCAGATCCCAATCTAAGCTCTAGAACCACTGCTGCTAAATGTTATGTTCAGGTTAAAAATAACCCAGTTTTAGCAGTTTTAAATTTGGGTACTGCTATAAGTATTTTGTCCAAAAAACTAATAGACAAACTGGGTCTAACAATCCAAAAACTATCTACCACCATCATTGTAATAGCCAACGAAAGTTGAGAAAGGGCTCTAGGAAAAATTAAAAATATAAAGTTAGCTGTTAGTAATGTATTAGTCCCCACCAATTTTCAAGTAATTAAGTCCCAAACAAAACTATGCTTCTTGGCATTGACTGGTTCCAAAAAGTCCAGGTCCAGATCTATTTCGATGAGCAAAAGTTACTCTTTAGGTATCTAGAAAAAAATAGCAAATTCTTATTATTCAAACACATGAAGATAAATTAGAAATTCCTCAAGAAGTATACAGTAGTGATGAGAATAACTTTTTCAATACTTACGAAAGTGAAGACAACCTAGATAAGGTCAAAAGTTACCATATTGATGGCATTCAAACTGATGACGAGAAATTGTTTCTTAATCCATGGAAAGATGTCTATAGCCCTGCTATTTATCTGACCACGATTAAAGAAATTTCAACCTCAAGTAATAGTAATAAACCTGAGCTGTCCCCTACTGAGATAGTTAATAGGTTAGTCAATGTTGAAATCTTAAATAATGAACAACAGATAGAAGCCATACATATCTTAGAAAAATTTTGTGGTTTATTTACTTCCGGGTTGGATGAACTGGGCCAGTATCAAGAAATACAACATAAAATCAATACTGGTAATGCAAAACCCATTAAATAATTGGCTTATTGGGCTTCACTAGACAAACAAGACTTTCTAAATAAAGAAATAGAAAAATTGGTAAACAACAAGTTAATTAGTGAAATTAAAAGTCCCTGGGCTTCGCTGGTTGTTATTGTCCCTAAAAAAAATAAAAAGCTCAGGTTATATGTTGATTATAGGAGGCTAAACACTATCACAAAGAAGAATGCATTCCCCTTATCCTGCATTGACAATTTACTAGAAATATTTAGAAAGCTGAATAGTTTTCTTCTCTTGATTTAGCCAGTGAGTACTGGCAGATTGGAATGAAAAAGAAGACTGGAAGAAGACTGCATTTATAACCAAACAGAGTATGTATGCTTTTAATATAATGCTCTTTGGGTTATGTAATACCCCAGCAATGTTCAAAAGACCATGAACCACCTCCTATACGAATATATTGGGCAATATATGGCTGTCTATTTAGATGATATAATAATTTATTCTACAACTTATCGTAACCACTTAGTCTACCTTTCAAATGTACTTTCCAAAATAAAGACAGTCAGATTAAAGTTAAACCCAGAAAAGTATGACCTTTTTAAGAATAATATTAATTTTTTGGGGTATATGGTAGGAAAAGAAGAGATTAGGCCTAACAAAAGTAAGGTGATTAAAGTCAAGAAATTCCCAATCTCAATGAACCTATAGCAATTATGGGCTTTATTAGTCTTGCCTCTTATTATCGACATTTCATTAAGAATTTTACCACAATCGCTAAGCCATTATATAAATTATTAGAAAAAGGGATTAGATATGAGTAGAAGAATAAACAGGAGCAATCTTTTAACGAATTAAAAACATATCTTACAACAGCTCCAATTCTTAGGTATCTTGACTTTGAAAAAATATTTTATCTTCACACAGACACCTTGCATATTGGTCTCGATGCAGTGCTAGTACAAAAAGATAGCAACAAAGGGAGTATGTTATTGCTTACATAAGCAAAAGTCTAACCCAGCCCAAAAGAAATTATTCGATCACCAAATTAAAATGTTATGCAGTAGTCTGGGCGGTTGAATATTTTTACCATTATCTGGTTAAAAGCCTTTTATTATTGTCACCGATCATTCGGCTCTAAAATAGCTCCAAACTAGTGCATTAAAGGGCAAAAGGGCTTGTTGGATCTTATGGCTCCAGCCTTATAACTTTACAATTATCTACCGGGCAGGATGGGCGCATAATAATGTGGATGTATTATCAAGGATGATAGAAGATGAATGTAGTACATCTAATCTTCCCTGAAAAGCAGCTGATATAGGAAATATTGATGTAGTACATAAAAAAAGATACAATTTTGGAACCTCTACAAAATCTAGAAAGCCGGGTCAGTAATTCAACAGAAGAGGTTGAAGTATTTCACATAATAACTGAAGATTATCTCACTGAGAAAATTGAGGTGGAAGACGAAAATTTATTTACAAACATCAAAAATACATGAAACAATATGTAGACCAACTGGTGGGACAAAGCAGAGTTTGAGCAATATCTAGAAAATGAAAGACAATATAGAAAATTAGTTCAACAATTAAATGAAAAATTTTTTGGAGAAACAACCTGGATGGCACAAATAGGGTATCACATCACAACAGAAAATAGTAATAATGAAACTAATTTAATGGATATCGACGATACCTACCTAATCGATTCACCAAAATGGTCTGATGATGAGTTAGAATTCAACAATGATTATAAAACCTATAATCTAGGGTATGCCCATAATTTTCATCTGAGTTATAGCGAATAATAGTGAAACACTAACATTAAAGAAGAAATGGTCTACAACACTAGAGTTGATCCTGAAGACCCCAAATGGCTACTACTCTCAGGCAATGATATAACAATGGATTGGGACTATTACCTTAGAATAGAATAAATAAATTAGTAAAATTAAAAATAATATGAAATGATAAAACAAATATAAAAACAAAAAAAAAATTTTTTTACTTAGCTTAACACAGACCTGACGATAGAGTGAGGTTGGTCAAGATAAGATAGGGCGAGTTGTGAGGCCCTATTCAAGAAGACAATAATAATTAAAAATTCAGTTAGGATTTCGAGGTCCTATGGGGCTGCGAATTCACATGACCCTAAAATAAGCAGTAAATCTGAAATATAAAAAGTAGTAAATATTAGTATATAAAAAAAAAAAAAAAAAAAAAAAAAAAAAAAAAAAAAAAAAAAAAAAAAAACAAAACAGAAAAAAAAAGAAAAGAGAAACGCAGTACTGAAAAATATTGTCAAAGATACTTATTCAAAGACGAAACAACCAAAATTCACAGAACTTAGGCCCTAAAGTAAAAATCCAACATTAAAACCAATTCGGCCCAGAAATTACCAAATGAGCCAAAACAAATTCAGAATTGTTAAAATCGATTTTCAAGAGCTAGAACCAAAAATACAAAAGAATCGTGTGAATTTACCGAAACAGCTTGAATTAAAAAAAATATATATATACAGTCGTCCTCCCATACAATCACCTCCTATATAATCACAAACTCTATATAATCACATAATTTTATACGGGCATTTTTTT